AGCAGCTGGCTCCTCAGCCTTCGGCGCCTCTGCGGCTGCCTCTTCAGCTTTTGGTGCCTCGGCAGCTGGCTCCTCAGCCTTCGGCGCCTCTGCGGCTGCTTCTTCAGCTTTTGGTGCCTCGGCGGCTGGCTCCTCTGTCTTGGGCGCCTCTGCGGCTGCCTCTTCAGCCTTTGGTGCCTCGGCAGCTGGCTCCTCTGTCTTCGGCGCCTCTGCGGCTGCCTCCTCAACCTTTGGTGCCTCGGCTGCTGGCTGCTCCTCAGCCTTTGGTGCCTCGGTGTTCGGTGCCTCTGCGGCTGCCTCCTCGACCTTTGGTGCCTCGGCAGCTGGCTCCTCAGTCTTGGGCGCCTCTGCGGCTGCCTCTTCAGCCTTTGGTGCCTCGGCAGCTGGTGCCTCGGCAGCTGGCTCCTCAGTTTTCGGCGCCTCTGCGGCTGCCTCTTCAGCTTTTGGTGCCTCGGCGGCTGGCTCCTCTGTCTTGGACGCCTCGGCGGCTGCCTCTTCAGCCTTTGGTGCCTCGGCAGCTGGATCCTCAGTTTTCGGCGCCTCTGCGGCTGCCTCTTCAGCTTTTGGTGCCTCGGCAGCTGGCTCCTCTGTCTTGGGCGCCTCTGCGGCTGCCTCTTCAGCCTTTGGTGCCTCGGCAGCTGGCTCCTCAGTCTTCGGCGCCTCTGCGGCTGCCTCTTCAGCCTTAGGTGCTTCGGCAGCTGGCTCCTCAGTCTTGGGCACCTCGGCGGCTGCCTCTTCAGCCTTTGGTGCCTCGGTGTTCGGCGCCTCTGCGGCTGCCTCCTCAACCTTTGGTGCCTCGGCAGCTGGCTCCTCAGTCTTCGGTGCCTCTACGGCAGTTTCGGTACTCCCCTCCGGTTTCGCCTCTGTGGCTGGCTCCGCTTTAGGAGCCTCAGCAGCCGGCTCCTCCGGTTTTGCTTCTTGGGCTGGAGCGGGGGGGGCCTCTGCAACTGGTTCTGCCTTTGGTGCTTCCGCCGGTGTCTCCTGCGGCTTTGCCTCGGTGACGGGCTCGGGTGCTGGAACCTAGGCTGGCAACGCATGCACACGGAGCGTGACTGTGAGGGGTCGGGCTGCGCTACGTGATTGCGCATGAAGTCACACCTGGGTAAACTGCTCAATGCGTCCGTTGGCTGCTGTGTCCATCCTCGAAACCGCGTCGACTGAAGCCACATCATTTGTTGCCGTCGGTCCGTTGTGGCCATTCCACGTTGGGCACGGTATATCAACGGGCAAGTCCCTTGCGACTTGCGACCAAGAAGGCTTAACAGTTTAACACATATCCCGCCGCGAACATATACCTCACGTGGGCACATGTTCCTGGAAACAAACTACCTTAAACACGCGCAACGACGCGCTCAATCCGTCTCACATAGGGCAGACACAGCGAAGGGTGCTCACGCGACAAAACAGTGGAACCAAGACAGTGTTCCGCGTGAGACGACGCCATAACGCACACGGGCATAGCATACATCATCCCATGCCAAGGCGGACGCATGTATGCTGGTGCACGACATGATTTG